TCACTTTGCTGTATGGCAGAAATGAACACAACATTGTAAATCAACTCTACTCCAATAAAATGAATTTTTTTTAATGTATAAAAGCAAAGTGGCTGCGCCATTTCACATCCCCACCAGCACGGCACTGGGTGTCGTCAGGTTTTCAGGTTTTGGCCATTCTAATAGGTACGTAGTGACGTCTCGCTACTGCTTTAATTTGTATTTCCCCAATGACACAGGACGTGGAGCTTTTCATGTGCTTGTTCGCCATCTGCGTATCTTCTTTGGTGAGGGTGTCTGTTCAGCTCTTTTGCCCTTTAAGAGTTCTTGTGCATTTTGGATAACAGTCCTGTATCAGATTTGTCTTTCGCGAAGATTTTCTCCCGGGCAGTGGCTTGTCTTCTCATTCTCTGCTGCTTGTGATTTTTAAGCACCTGCAGTTTGCCTCCTTTTTTTTTTTTTTGGTTAATATGGTTGAATTTTATCCCTTAGAAATATCTGTCTATTTTTCATTCAACAAACATTTATTTAATCCCTACTGTGTATAAGTGTTCTTTCTAACGCTGGAGATAAACCAACTGCAGAACAAAGATCCCTGCTTACATTATTAGTCTACTTTAAAAATTAACTTTGGTTTTATCAGTCTTTTCCATTATTTGTGTTTCTTTTCTACTCCAATAACTTCTGCTTCTATATTTATTATTTTAATCTTTATGGGTTTTTTTTTTTTTGCACTTTTGCTCTCTTATTCTTCTTCCAGCTTAAGTTGAATGTTGAGCTAAATTCTTTTAAATACTTGTTTTTCAATAAAACATGTAAGGCTATAAAGTCTCGTCTACTTACTGTTTTAGCTGCACCCCACAAGTTTTGATATTTTAGTCTTTCACTATCATTTTGTAATTTCCAGTATGATTCTATTTTTATGACTATTTATATGTATATGGGGGCTTTGGCATTTAAATGTTCTCCTTGGTTTGAATTTCTAATATCATTGCATTGTGGACAGAACGTATAGGTCTGTATACTGCCGAGGGTTTGGGTTTACTGGTATCTCCCTTACAAAGGCCAAACATTTGTAAATGTTTTTTCACGTGCCGGAAATAAATGTGTAATCTCTTCGTGGAGAGCAAAATTCTATTACATCAAACCATCATTTTTATTTAAATCTCTCTTTTTAAAACTTTTTTCTTCCCTTGGTCCACATTTTCTGTAAGAGATGTGTTAACCTATCCGTTTATGCTGTGCAAAGGTCATTCTCTGCTTTCTGTTGGGGTCGTGTTGCCCTATTAACTCAGGCCCATGACTCACCGAGGCCGTCTCTTCATCATAGGACACAACCCTCTGTCCTTGTGAATGCTCTTCAAATATCTTTTAGGGGAATACAGATATTCTCAGCCACGCTCTCTTTTGGTTAGTATCTCCCTCACATTTATCGTTTTCATCCTCTTATTTCAAATCCTGTGACGTTTTGTCTTAGGTGTATCTCATGTAAATAGTATATTGTTGGATCTTATGGGGGTTTTTAAAAAGTATAATGTGAATCCTTTTCAATAGGTGAGTTTAAGTAATTTCTTTATCATGATCACTGGCATATCTGAACTTCTTTGGACCACGTTAGTATCTCCTACTCACCCTATTCTTTCTTTGCTTCTCCCCAACTCCTTTCCTATCTTCTCTTGACTCGATCAGTTTTGTTCATTAGCTTTCTTTTTCCTCTCCTGGAAGTTATACTATTTCTATTCTTTTAAAAGTTATCCTTACATTTTAAAATAATTTCTTAAACTTGTATTTTCTGAGACGTTCTCGAGTAAACCAGGTGAGTGGGTGCCACCAAGGATGGGAGGGCAGTGGTCATCTTGCCGACTAGCCCATTAGGCAATAACGACCAAAGAATCCCACTACTAGAAACTAAGGCTGAGAATGGCTAAGGCTGACCACGCCAAGAGCTGGCAGTGAGGACGTGGAGAAACAAGGACCCTCGTAACCCACCGGTGGAAACGTAAACTGGAAAACCAGTTTGGTATCACCTGCTAAAGTGGAAGATACCCACCCCACGTGGCCGTGGAATTCCACCTCTAGATGCACACCCAGCAGAACTGGCACGTGTCCCCCCAAGGGACGTGCACACAGATGTTCAGAGCAGCAGTATTTACAACAGGTCCGAAACAGAAGCAACTCCAGTGTCCACCACCCACAGCGGAACGGGTAAATTGTGATCCACTCAGAGGAGAGAAAACGACAGCAAGAGATAAAATGAACCACAGCCGCCCAGCCACGGGGATACCTTCACTAACAGAAAAGTTGTTTGCAAGAGGCTGTCCGTGTGATTCCTTCAGATAACACAGTTTAGGAACAACCAAAACCACACGATGGTGTCAGAAGTCAGGGTGGCATCCTGCTTGGGGAGGGGGCACCCGGGGACACCGCGGGTACGGGCCATGTGCTACTTGACGGTGACAGTGGCTCCTGGTGTCGGCCTTGTGACAACTCACTGTCCCTAGATTTGTGCTGTGTGGCCTGCTGTTATTAGCATACATCACAGTTTTAAAGTAAAAACAACAAAAATCATTGCCAAATCTTCTGGAAAAAATAGGACTGAAAGAGTGGATTGGTTTTCTGTTGCTGTTAATAACTTACCGCAAACTTAGCCACAGGGTCGCTCAGCTGCTCAGACGTTTTGTGACTTCTTTTTCACTTTTTTAAACTATGAATGACGTGAACATCTTGTCAGGCGCTTGTATCTCTTCCTCTTGTGAACTGCCTATTTTCTGTGCTGTGCCCATTTTTATTTCCAAGAATTATTATTTCCAGTTATTTTCAAGCACTCGGTAGATATTAAGGAATTTCAACCTGTCTCACCTAGGCTGCAGGTATGTTTGCTGGGCTTGTTATCATTTATCTTTGTTTATTTATTTATTTTTGCGGTACGCAGGCCCTTCACTGTTGTGGCCTCTCCCGTTGCGGAGCACAGGCTCCGGACGCGCAGGCTCAGCGGCCAGCCGCTCCACGGCATATGGGATCCTCCCGGACCGGGGCACGAACCCGCGTCCTCTGCATCGGCAGGTGGACTCTCAACCACTGCGCCACCAGGGAAGCCCATGTTTATTGAGGTTTTAGAGCTCTGCTGGTTGTGAAGCATTTCTCCGTGGTGCAACCTATAGATGTTTATCAGTCTTTTCCTTTATTGTTTTTGCCACTGGCATTGTGCTCAGAGAGCCTTTCACTGTTCCTGGGTATAAAATTATCTATTTCTATTTTGAGTATTTGGGGGGATTTATTTAATATTTAAATCCACTCATCTGGAATTTACCTGGGTATATAGTTCTTTTAGCCTCAGTTTGTCACTGGAACGGGCTCAAGGGTTAGATGCTTCGTGCATGGTCACACGGTCACAGAGTGGCTGCGAGCACTCCCTCGGCCATCCTTGTGAAGATCCTCTCCATGCCAGGGATTGGGCTGGGGTGAGGCTACAGGACTGGTGAGACAAGGCCTTGCAGCTGAGAGGGGCAGACCCCATGGGGCTAGGGTAGCACTGGAGGGAAGGGGACGAGAGGGGACGAGAGGGGAGAGGGCCAGCTGGGTCGGGCAGGACCGGGGAGGCTCAGGGAGGGCCCAGCTGCCCGACACTCTGAGCAGATTCCACCGAACACCAGCCCTGAGAGCTGACCCATGGGGCTGCAGGCCCAGCGGACACCTCCAGCTCAGGGTGGACGGGCCCGCAGTCTCAGGTTCGCTGCGGCTTAGTCGGGACCTGCCTTCCTGCAGAGACGCCTCCACGTGGCCAGGGGAACCAGGCTGCTCAAACACAGGGGCCATTCTCCCATTTCAGATTCGCAGTTGACGGCAGCACGAAAGCCCTGCCCGCCCCCCACCCGCCGTGAGTCCCTCCAAAAGCACAAATCGCTCAAACCTCTCCGGCCTCCACGCCCAGAGCCCCACCCTCCCTGGCACCAGAACTCCCCAGGGCCCGGCCTCCAGCTCTTCCGTCTCAGCCGTGGGGCCCACAGGCAGGGCCCCTCCTAGTGCCAGGCAGGGCGAGACGCAGAGGGGCTCGTCTCGGACCCCTGGGCTTTGGGCCACCCCTGGGGGCTCGCGGACCCCAAAGCGGGCCTGAGGAGCAAACCGCTGGGCCACAAACACCAACAAACAGTGACAACAAATGACAGCCGTCACCAGCTGCTGAGCTGAGACCTGGAGCCTGGCATCTCCCGCCTCCTGACTGTGGCGACGGGGGTGGGCAGCGTGTCTCCACTCTGTGGCTTCGAGCCGGCACCGGGGGTCTGCGAGGGTCCGCCCAGCTTGATGCAGGCTCGTGCGGGGAGGAGAGGTAAACAGACCACCCCCCACCGCCCGGGGGGCTCCAGCCCACCCATGGGGACGGAACCTCATCCCAAGACGGCAGAGAGCGAAGCGCTGCCCTGCGGGGCCCCCAGCGTGGGGGGCCGGGGGGGGGTAAGGGCAGACGCGGGTGCCCAGAGGAGGACAGAGCACCACGAAAGCAGCCCTGAGAAACCGGGAGGATGGGGGCTGGCTGAGGAGGGGCCTGGACACCCCGGGCTGGGGGTCAGGGCAGATGGGCGTGTCCTGGGTCCTAGGAGTGGGGAGGAGTGGGCCCCAGACCCGGGTGCCTGCCCCAAGTAGACGCTTGACAGACCGTGGCCAGATGGGGAGGCCCCTCCTGTCCCGGGCCGGCCTGGATCCTGACCCCCAGCCGGTGCAGCCTGGGCTTGGGGTTCAGCTCGAGTCTGAGTCTGGCGCGCCTGCACCTTCAGGTCCCCCCGAGGCCCTGATGGGCTTCAGCAAGACTGTGGGTGCCGCACCCAACGCCAGGCCTGGCACGCTGCAGACGGCCTGTATGGAAAGGCCCAGAACTCGGACCGTCCAGAGGCTGCTGTAGGGCTGGGCCAGTGCCCCTGGCTCTCAGCTCTCCCCCGGTCTCAGACCAGACAGCCAACAGTGACCCAGCACCCGGCCAGGGCACCCTGTTCCTTCAGGAGAGCCCCTGAATCAAAGGCCAAGGCTGGATTTTCACTGCATCTTTATTCCGTGTTTCGCACATTGTATTCCAGACAGAACAGCCTCTGATCACTTCAGACGGATTGGCTCAGGTTCCAAGGACCCCGTCAACACCCCCTGCGTTCAGTTCCAGGTTTACATACACATGGAAACACGCACAGGGCCTCACCGAACTTCGTAGATGCTTCCTATTTGAAACGTCAACTGCCTCCAGGGGACAACTTTCATGTCCCCAGCATCTGGGCTGCACAGACTACCCGAGCCGCGGCGGGCAGTGCCCGGGGTCTAAGCAGGACGGGCCTTCGTGGAACTGGACGCCCGGCAGGAAAGCAGCAGCGGGCCACGGGGGCCTTGCGCCGGGAGGAACCCCTGATGCCAGGGTGGGGGGCAGGGACCGGCCAGTAGGGGTGCTCTCCGTCTGCTCTAAGGCAAGCAGGTCCCTCCGCTGATTTGGGGGCTTCTGACATTTGCACAGTATTTTGTGCTGATTTCCACGCACATGTAACGAGCCAAAAATAAGGAACGCACAGCATCACACACGTGCAACTGTGTACTTTGATCCTCGGCTGCACAGCCTCTGGGCAGCGACCTGGCACCTGAGCTGTGCCAAGATGGGTGGTGGCAGGGCTGCCCCGGGAGGGCTGGCAGGTGGTGGGAAGAGATGCCTGCGCGTGGATGAAAGTCTGGGGCAGAGGTCAGGAGCCTGTCCTGGGCTCAGGGCTCAGAGGCTGTGGCTGTGGCCTAGAGCTCCACGGGGGTGTCCACGTCACCACGGGCAACATGCCCGTGACAGGTGCTCTCTGGCCGGGGCGGGCAATGTGGGGGAAGCAGGACGGGCCCCGGCAGAGCCCAGGTCAGGGCGGGTCTGGCACCTTCTGCAGCTGGGCTCACGGCCCCAGCGACCAACACACAGCAGCAGCGATCAAGTCCACAACACACCCGGAGACGCAGCAAGCAGAGGGGCGCGGGCCACTTGGCCCCCGCGGTGTGGGTGCAGGTGCAGCAGCGGAGCCCTTCACGGCTCCGATCACAGAGCTGGAGCGTCTGGACCCACCTGTCCAGGTGGCCCAGGCGAGCGAGGCTGTGGCTGGCGGCTGAGCGTCCGCCCGACGCCCCGCACCACACAGCGGAAGGGCTCCTGCCCGCGCAGCCTCCTCGACAGACCAGCCAGGGCGGTTCTCTGTTTCCAGAGGTCATGGATGGAAAGTAAGGCAATTTCTAGAGGCCGCACTCTGCTCCCAGCTGCTGCAGCCGGAGGCTCCCCAGGCTCGCCGTCTGCCTTCCAGCCACGTTTAAGCCGAGGGAGCAAGTACGCGGCAAAGCTAAAGTGACGAAGTTACAGAAATCCGCCTGCTGTCAGAGGCCTGGGAGAGCAGAGATTTCATAGGTTAGTGCAACGTTTCACTTGTGACTTTGTCTACGTTTTATTCTCTTTCACTCAACAGAATAGAATTTTTACATTTCCAAGTAGGTAAGGAGATGGCTGCCACCTCCCTCTGCCTCTGGCACCCGGACAGCAGGCCACTCGGAGAGGGTCTGCCTCTCAGGCCGCCCCGGCTGGGGGCTCCACGAGGTGGGCGTTTGGCAAGGATGCTCCAGGGTCGGGAGAGGGGGACGCCCGGCCCCTCTCTGGCCCCGCGTGGCCGGGACCCTCCCTGGCTCTCTTTGGTATCTCAGAAAACAGAGGCCGCCTGGCCCTCGCCAGGCCCTGGACCACGTCCCAGCCAGCCGCTCCAGCAAGGCCTCTCCTTGGCCGTGGCCTTCAGCCGGCCGGCAGTGGGGTGTGCTGCCCGGGGCGGGGAGGCCACGGCGGTGGGCCCGGGCTCATTTCTTGTAGTGATTGGGGGCGTCCGCGAAGACAAACTTGAGGCGGTAGGCCTCGGCCAGCAGCAGACTGACGTCTTCGTCGCCCCAGTGGGCTGTGGGCAGGTTCTGGAGGAAGAGCAGCAGCTCCTGGGGGGAGAGAGACAGCCTGGGTCAGACGGGGCAGCCAGCTGTGTCGGGCAGGGGCCCCGCAGGAGGAGCCCTGAGGAAATGCACAGGGTCACGGCGGGGTGAGCCTGGGGGGCCGCCGAGCCCCTGAGAATCGTGTCCCCTCCCAGCTTGAGCCCGAGGGCCCCACGCCCTGCAGCCAGGAGGAGGCCCCCCGGGAGGCTCCCAGGCCTGCCGGGACGTGGAGGGCAGCGCCAGCACCGCGACACAGCCGGGCTGCACGCACGCCCCCGGCCTCCCGGCACTCTGGGGCCCAGGGCCATCTGGGCGGGGATGCCCAGCCGCGGGGGGCGCTCGGGGCTCAGACCCAGAAGCCAGGCCTGGGCTCAGGTGCTGGCTGTGCTGCCTCCCGGCTGGTGGACCAGCCGCTGACCACCTCTCCCCATCGAGACAAGGATCCCAGCTCCCACTGGGGCCACCAGTGCCTGGCGCTCGGCGTTGCGGAGGCCTGTACCCGGCCTGCTGTCCTCACGACGCCCCCCCGCAGCGCACGGCCCTCTCCCCACTCCCCAGTGGAGAGCCACGCGTCAGGACTCTCTGCCAGTGCGGCTTCCCTGTTGCTGCTTTCCCTTCCTCGGTCTCATTTCCTTTTGCATTTTGGACACTTTCTGGGGGCCTTTAAATTGAATTCATGGAGCAAACTTCACTGGCAGAACGTCCCTGGGGACGTATCGACATCAGTCTGCTGTCTTTCACCATTAGATGCAGCTTACACGGACGCCAGTCCAATTCTGAGCAGGTCGTAAATAAATAACTTTGATTTTATTTTTAATCCACTTCGCTTCATATTATCATGACCTCGCTACCTGCAAGGTGAGAAGCAATACCCTCCCATTGCGGTAACTCAGCAACTCTACTGCGTACTCAATTTCAGAATCTAATTTAGTCCCCCAGGTTCAGTGGACGGAGAGAGAATAGAAATGCCTGGTGGGCCGCAGCCTGCAATGTTAAAGAAGGAAAAACCTGTCCGGGTGACCTTTACGAGAGGCAGGGGACACAGCCGAACATGCCCTTAAATGCAGATTTTTTTTAAAAAAGGCCTGTCTTATTTACGAGCTAGGCAGCGACACCTTCGACCTGGGAGCCACGGCACATCTATTAGCCACATCATTCGGGAAAAGGGCCATCGGTCACGATGCTGTCACTGGGTCACACCCCAGGGGACCCGCCATCCCCTGCGATGGTGGCAGGGAGGGCCCGGTCCAGCAGCCCGCGAGGGCAATTCCGTTTTTAATCTTAACTTCTCTGTAAACAGCGCTGTGACCACGCCTGCAGAATAAAAGTTAAAGGAAGGTCTGCTCACAACACTGAGGTTGTGAGGAATCAAAGACAAGTCGCATCCCCGTGGTTCTTTTCTTCCCGTGTCCACGAGATGCCACCACGGCAACAAAGCCACGGCCCGGGGCATCCCACCCCCTCCATCGGCCTGTGTCACCGTGCCCTCCCATGCTGGCATGTGCTGTCCGCGGTGGCCAGGAGGGACCATAGCGATGGTGCCGTCCCCGCTGCGCAGCCTGGAGGCCTGCTGTTCTCAGCCCCCAGCAAGGTCACGGTCACCCCGGAGTCTGGAGGCCCGCAGCACCCGGCCCTGCAGAGGGCAGCGGCCCCGAATCTCAGGTTGCCTGGGGTCTCGGTATGATGAGCAATCTGACTGTCCTCTGGACACTCTGGATGTCACCTCGCGAGCATGTGGATCGTGGCTGGTGGTCCCTTTTACCAGGCAGTCCCCTGCGGAGGCCCCGCCAACACCACCCCGGCCACAGGTAGCCCTGCAGGCGTTGTGGTGCGGCTGACGGCAGTGGGGGGAGCGGGGCGGCAGGGTGAAGGGCGGGGCCCTGAGCTGGGCTATTGCCGGGGACATCTTTTCCACAGAGTCCTTCCCGCTCTGACTTTCGCCTCTGGGTAGGTTCCAAGAGGTGAGCCTTCCAACGTTAAAGAGTGAATAATGTTTCCGGCTTTGGGGACTTCTTGCCAAAAGAGTTTCATTTTTCCAGAGAGAGGAATCACGTTACCATCTGCAAAGTATGACTATCTCTATCTCTTTCGTCCCTCCCAGGAAGGATGAAATGGTGACACAGCGGCGTCCAGGAAGGTGGGCAGGGGTCCCCTCTCAGGACCCCACGTTCTCTGTCTGGTTGGCCCCTGTGAGGCTCCTGTGAGCCCAGCAGTAAGGCCACACTCAGCCAGACACAGAGGAGGCAGGTCCAAGCCCAGCACACCCCCAGCACGACCCCACAGAACCCTGGAAGCACATCCTTGGTGTCATCACTGACGTCATGGGGTGATCTGTCTCCTCTGTGACATCAACAGGTCCACGTGCCCCCACGTCCCCGACATGAAGCACACAGCACACGGTGCCGACCTGTGAACAGTCACTAGGGCACAGTCGGCTAAAGGTACGCACACTTGTAAAGGATGCTGAACGCGGGGCTCGAATCCAGCCCTGCACCACTCAGCCGCGCCGGTCTCCTGGCTCTCTGTGCCTCGGTTTCCTCATCTGTAAATGGGGACGGTAGCGCGCCTCCCTCTCTGGTTGTTAATTTGCGCCAGGATATAAAAAGCACAGGGTCAGTGCCACCTGCGGCCGCTATCACTCAGCTAGTCTTCAGTCACTGTTGGCGGCGGTGGCTGATCGTCACGGCAGCAGTAGTGGCATCGGTGCCGATAAATTCCTATCTGTGGGAAACGCCAGGGACTTTGGCAAACAAGCTTAAGACGAAATGGAATCCTCCCTGGACAGCAGCTCAGAGGAGGCAGCGCCGGCATCTTGAGGAAGGAAAGACACCACACGTGTCAACCTACGGGCCGTGGCTAGGACCCCAACTGGGGAGCCACATGGGACCCTTTTGAGGGGACTTGAAGGACTGCCTGTGGACCGGATCGTCCAATTCTGGCGTCTGGTACAAAAGGCACTGCGTGTCATGAAAACGGCCCCAAACAGTCGATTAAGGAAGAGCAGCTCTGGGTGCAAGGCAGACAGGTCCCCTCACCCCACCTGCCTCTGCGTCAGGGCACACGCGCCGTCACATGGCCAGCTCTGCCCTCGGGGGCCAGACAAAGGATTAGGCGGCAAACAATGCTCCGCTCTGCGCAGGGGTCCGGCCAGGCGAGACCGGCTGGTGGCTCTCGACGCGGCCCCCGTCTGTCCCCCGCCGCTACGGGGGTCTCGGTGGAGATGTGGGTAGATCACACTCCAGACCTCAGATACTTGGTCTGAACAAAAGTTTGCGAAATGTTCCTTAACTTTAATATCGATCACAGGTTGAAGGTAACGTTACAGATGTACTGGGTTAAATAAAATATGAATCTCACTGGTTTTCCCCTTTCTGCGAGGCTCCCAGAAGCTCTCGCTCGTGGCGGGCGCTCCTCTCCAGCGGACAGTGCTGCTTTGATTACACCCAGCACAGCCCCCTGCTCCGGGGCAGCAGCCACGACGGTGCCGGCCACGCTCCCTTCTGCAAACCCTCAGGCACAGGACTCACCCCAAGGCTCCAGGTCAAGGCCGGCTCCGCGCCCGTGGGAGAGCACACCGAGGCCGGGAGTTTACAGCCTGGCCACGCGCAGAGACGAGTGAATTAATCACGATGGGGCTGAAGGCCCAGATGCGAACTCTGAGTATTTTCTCGCCTTAACTGAGAAGACAAAACAGCAAGCCCCGTGCTGACACGGGCAGGTGACAGGCTAATTGGTCTAATTCACTCCACCATGTTCCGGCAACTTGTGCAGCTCGGCCAGCAAACCTGCCGCTGCGGAGCCCCAACCGGCCGCGGAAGGGTGGCCCTGGGTGCCACGTGGGGACGCCATGGGGACACGCAGGCTGGGGTGGGCAAGGCTGGGGCCTCGGGCATTTCTCCCACATCCTCAGCCTTCCAGGCGAGGAGACGGAGGCGGGGGAGGCAGGAAGCCTGGCCCAGGGCCTGGGTGGCTCAGCGCCTGTGCAGCAGGTGTGTCTGTCCCCGCGAGGCTGGGCAACGCCAGAGCGCAGGTGGCTGGGAACTCTGGAAGCCAAGGCTCCGTCTGCCGGGCGAGGACAGTGACAGGAGTGACCTCCAGGCCGGGAGGGTCCGAGGGGCAGTGACGCAGCCACGCTCAGTGCAGGAGTGGCCCTGTGGTCCATCATCTCCATGTCACCATCATCCCACTGACACCCGGCGGGCCCTGGGGCGTCACCACCTCAGAGGTGCCGGGCAGCTCCTGCCAGGGCTGTGCTGAGGACGTGAGGACCCAGCGCACACAAGCTCAGCAGGACGCCCGGCACACGGGAACTGCCACCATGGTCGTCACCACCCTCGTCGTGGTTGTGGCCGTGGCCCCGGCTACCAGGACCTCAGACGACGAGAGTGGTGGTCACACAGAGCAGCCGCGGCTGGAATCTGCGTGGCACCTGCGCCCAGGCCTGCCCTCTGTGGGCGGATATGCTGGTCTGGGCCCGCGTGGCCAGCCTCCCACCCCCCTGCCCACTCAGGCGAGTCTCCTCCAAAGGTCAAAGGTCACGGTCCAGGCCCAAACCCAGTGCCTGGCAGCCGGTGCAAGGCCAGGTCATTTGTGTTCCTGCCTGGGCAGGGGCTGCTGGGGCTTGAATCCACATTCAACATAAAATACCTGTTCTTGGTCAGTACATGTGTAAAAGAGAAGAAAAAAAGGAGCCGAGATTAAATTACACTGAAGCGGGTTTGCGGCGACTGCCGGCAGCGCAGACAGCAGCCGGTTGCCGGGCAATTCTGATGGTCCGGGGGCTCTGGCCGGGCCTCCCTGGGCACCCCCGGGGGTGGGGGACAGGGCAGGCACGGCACCATGAGTCGGGAAGCTGGCGTGCGTCTGGCACATGGTCCTGGAGTCACGCATGACCATCCAGCCCGCGGCTCTCTCCTTTCTACGCCTCCACCCACTGTCTGCTCCCTCAGCCAGGACCTTCCCGTCGGCGTGAGGAGACGGGACCCTGCCCTGGGCCACACGATGGC